TGTCGTCGGGGTCGGGTTTGGATAAGTAGGAGTTAAGCCTGCTACAATATCTAGACCTAAGTTGCGCCAGTATTGCACGGCACTCACGAGGCAACTCGAGCTCTTCGTCTATAATAGATGGTAGTTTGACTCCGAGAACGCCAATTATAGGAAGAGTGTTCATACAGGTGTTGACGGGCTAGCGGTTAATGACGTTTAATGCCTGCCTGTACGCCGTATTGTCCAGTGGTTGTTGCAAGTCTTGCTGAATTGTGTCCTTTAAATTTAGTACTCCCTTTCTGTTGTGCCTGGGTCGAGGTTCAGCGTCTATTAGTTGCCTCTTATGGTGCTCCCTGCGGTAGTATCCCTACACAGCAAAGCATTATGTTCCTTAACGCGTAGCATAGATGCTTCACTGTGCAAGTGACGCTCAGGCGACATCAACAGGCCTTCTGTCGCATTTTTAAGGCCGGCGTTTCGGCAAGCCTGTAGTTTCTTTAACTGCGACTCGTACGTCCCCGGTGCCCAGATCGGAGCAGCATAGTCAACGACCGGCCAGCCGCCCAGTTGCTTTGTAGGTTGCCAGCAAAATTTATTTGTTTTTACCCCAGGTGTTGTTGTTGTTGTTGTTCCAGCCGCCCAGTTGCTTTGTAGGTTGCCAGCAAAATTTATTTGTTTTTACCCCAGGTGTTGTTGTTGTTATTGTTGTTGTTGTTGTAACCGCAAAATTATGCCCCAAAGTACTTCTTGGGGAATATTGCGGGAGCGACAGTCCTTGGTGGGATAAAAATCCGGGTCGTTCCGGTATAAAAACCCGACTGTCGCGGGAACTATTGGATTTTAGTCGCCTCTTACGACAGGCACGCCTTATCCGCGGGTAAATTCTTAAACTCCTAACCCCAGGTGCTGCTAGCTAGCGCTTTGAGTATTTTGCTGCGGCTCTGGAGTTTTGCGGAGAGAAGGAGTGCAGGTTGTCAAATGTGACTGCCAGTAACTTTGGTTTGCTTGTGGTCGGAATTTTGATGTCATCAACCTTCTCAACAAGTTCGTGCCTATTTTTCTTCAGCCAGCTAGTCATAAGAGTAGCTGAGGATTTGATCGGTTGTATTTTAGTTATCGTACTGTGAAGAAGTGGGATTTGTCGACAATATCGAGCAATCAACGGCATATGAGGTCAAGGAACCCCCTCTTTTGGTGAAGGAGTGGATTTCGAAATATGGAAGTTGAACAGTAATAAGAAGAGAACACCATTCTGCGGAATCCCTTGTTTAGTCTTACTGAATTTTGATGTTTTCAACCCAGGTGGTAATGAGAATTCCTCAATGTCAGAAATACACTCGGAGGGGTTGACATTCCCAGCCAGTTCAGTTGTAAAAAATAGTTCCTACAATTCTTTTATAGATTCAAACTCCTAACATTTTCCCTCACTACGGCGAGAGCTAATCTGGCAAGAGATTTGTATTCAGTGGCTTTCAAACTGTTATAGCTTCAACGCCTTCCCGAGTATTTAATGTATGGAATTAACGGTTCATCTGTTGTTTAAACATAGGTTCCACTACTCTTTGAAGTCACTGTATCAAGTCATATATATGCAAATTCGCGTACGCTGTGAACCAGCAAATGTTTAAAGACTCAACTGTTGAAATAATGAGATAAATGGATGGATGTGTATATGTATACAAACCGAATAAATATCAAGTGCATTAAGTAGATACATACATACATATGCAGCATATGTTATATGCGTGTTCACGAATCGTTTTCATATCACATCGCTACATTATTTTTTAATAATTTTAATATTTTTAACTCTAATAAAATACGCTTTTTAATAGTTACTCACGACGAGTTGTTTGTTTTGAGTTCTTTTTTTTCGTTTGAGTTTTAGATTTTTTATCCTCCAAGGTACTCCGCTCGCCCCCGCCAATGTGAATTGTTTGGCTTATAATTTATTTATTTCCACTTTACATATAAGAAAATTGTCTTTCCACACTCCAAAGACCGGCATGCGCTCTCGCTGCCAATAAGCGACTGATTGTACAGAAGAGACTCAAAAGCTACAGACGCGAGCACGATCGTGGGGGTACAGTAAAGTGCTATTATTTCAATGTATATATGTGCAGATATATATATATATATATTTTATACGGCGTACTGTCCGGACCGGCAGTGTTCGATTCCTTGTTCGGCAAACATCCAAAATTATACAAAATTAAATTTTCTTCTTGTGTTCGACCCTCGGTAGGGAATATCAAGCACACCGAGCGAATGTCTGACATGAAATAAAAGCCCTACAAAAAATCCAGCGAACGTGCGGAGGCAGCTTAGTATAAACTGTAGGTCCCTTCGTTTTGTTGGAGTAACATCAAGACGCAAAACCACAGATTGGAAAGGAGCTCGGCCTTTGCAAAGCCTCAATTATACGTATATATAATATATGTATTGATGAGTGCATAAGTTCGTGCCCGATTTCAAGTGCAAACTAAAATTGAAATTTTTTGAGGAAAGCGCTTTTATTAATCAATTTTGTATTCGCCATCATGTTTGGCAATCCACTCCCAACGTTCAGCCAATTTACGGATGACTGATTCATAGAAATCGCGCGCACATTTTTAATTTTTTTTCCATTCAAATTGTTCTGCAGCGATCGAAACAAATGGTAATCAGAAGGTGCAATGTCGGGTGAATATGGGGGATGCGGCATGATTTCCCAATTTATCTCCTTCAGTTTGGCCAGGGTCGATTTTGCAACATGTGGCCTGGCGTTGTCATGATGGAAAAGAACTCCTTTGCGATTGGTCAAAATCGGACGTTTTTCATCAATTGCTTTCTTTAATTTGACCAATTGCTGGCAATACTTGTTGGCAGTGATCGTTTCTCCAGCTGGCAAGAGCTCAAAATAGATCACGCCTCGGATATCCCACCAAATGCACAGCATTGGTTCCGCCCCTTCGTGTACCTATTTCCATGTTCTTTTGCGTTGAACATTGTTGTACAGGGTCCATTTTTCATCACCAGTCACAAGCCGATCCAAAAAAGGTTCGTTTTTGATCCGTCGAAGCAAAGAAATTGCTGTTGACATATGGTCCACTTTGTTTTTTCACTCAACTGATGTGGCACCCATGTATCGAGCTTCAAAGTGTACCCAACCTTTTTTAAACGACGAAACGCAGTTGATTTGTTGACGTTCAATTCACTGGCAACCTCTTCCGCCGAAATACGTGTGTTATTCGCAACTAAAGTTCTTAGAACATCGTCATCAAGCTCAACGCCGTCCACTGCGAGGTTGATCTTCGAGGTTAAAATCTCCAGAACGAAATTTTGCGAACCATTTCTTTACTGTGCGGGGTGCTGGAGCACGGTCCAAATAATCTCGCGAATATCTTTAGTTGCAGAGCCTACTGTTTTTCCTTTGCGGAATTCGTATAACATAATATGACGCATATGATCTTTTTCGTTGTCCATCTGCCATGCTACTTTTCACTAAGCAACTCAAATCAAAATGAAGTTATTTTATGCTTGATTTACAGTTCGGACTGTCACCTTTCCAACGATATATAATATGTATATATTTCTTTCACGAGCGCCACTCTCAAACGATTCGAACGGCATCCAGCGGAATCGGGCACGAACTTATGCACTCATCCAATACATCTGAATATGTGCATATATAAATATATTTTTAGTTCATTAAGTAAAGCTTTAGTGAGAGTTGAGCTTGTTGAGGAGCATTTTTCCGCTTGTGCACATTTTGCAGACGGAATTTCTAGAGTGTGTAGTCTCGTAGAAGCTTCGTATGTACATATTTACATACCTATATAAAAAGCATAGACAAAGCAGTAACAAAATCAATTACGTTCTACGGAGTCACAGTTTGGTGAATCGGCGCCCGGCTAAATCAATGGTTGGTGGTTGAAAATCTGCTCAGCATACTTCCTTTCGGCAACAGTTTGGATGGCAAAGTGGCTTGCCAACTGACCATTCCAAAGTCCTTCAGCGCAGAACTGAACAGAAATCACATCTAAGTGGTGTCTTAAAGGTCCAGCGAGGATGTTGATTGACGGGTAAAGAGCAACCCCTGCTGGTTAAAGGCGCAAGAGTTTACCCGTGGTAAGGCGGTCGCGGTAGGCGAGTGGTTAGCACTGTGTACTGCCATTTGTAAGGCTCGGGTTCAAGTCCTGGTACGACCAACATTAAAAAAATTGTAGAAAATTAATTAAAATAAAAAATTAATTGAAATTTTCCGCTTGTGGTCGCTCCTCGGCAGGGAATGTCAACCCCGCCGAGTGTATTTCTGACATGAAATAAAGCTCCTCATAAAAAAAAAAAAATAAGCCGTTCGGAGCCGGCTTAGTATAAACCTTAGGTCATTCCATTTGTTGGCGAAACATCAAGACGCAAATTCACAAATTGGAGGAGGAGCTCGGTCGAGATTCGCTTCAGCGCCAATTATATATAAGGCTTGTCTGTTGTAAGAGCCGACTAAAATCCAATAATTCCCACTACAGTCGGGTCTTTATACCGGCCAAGGACATTCACTCTCGCAATATTCCTCGAAAACTAGTTTGGGTAATGTTAATAACAACAACAACACCACGGGCAAAGGGCGAATTCTTTAATCCTTTTGCTCTTGGCCGTTCGACCCCAATTGGATTCGGAAATATCGAAAGCAATAACTTTAGGAAGTCTTAATTATATTTTTCCCTAGTCCCTTTAGTGATACCAAGCCAGGTCTCTAGAGCTAGTGAGTTTGGTAAAAGAGATGCGGCCTAGAAACAGCAAAAACTCGAACCCAGTAGTGGTTACAGCCTTCACAATCCAACCGCTTCGCATGCTTCTTTAAATCTGTACATATAAGAGCCTCTTCCTTAGCTTCTAACTTTCGTAGGATGAGCAATCCATCACTGAGAAAACAAGAAATACAAAGTTTTATCCTGACCTTCCCTTATTATGTGTGAACAAAAAGTAACTTATATTTGTAATTAACTGTTTTTCTCTCTCTTTCTTTCGTTCAACCACAGATGCGTCCAAACGAAAATGGAAGAATCTACGCGACAGCTACACCAAATATTTGCGCTCCTTTCGAGTCGGCACGAAAACATCGAAGAAATATCAATATTGGGCCCATGCCGATCATATGGACTTTCTAAAACCCTATCAGGGACCCGGCAGGTGAGTACACTATTAAACCCATAAACCCCAATCTTTTAACAACAATTTAGCATTTTGGCAATTGGCCTTCCTTTCAGACATTCCAACGGCAATTCGAATAGTAGTAATAGTCTTAAAACCGAAGATACAGAGGATACCGAGTGCGATTTTGGATTTCAAGTATTAACAAAAGCTGCAGGTACGAATTCTTCATCGGAAGACGATTTAAAATTTAATTCTGCAGCAGCAATGCCTACAAGCACAACAACAACAGTAGTACCAACAGCACAGGCATCGCTAGCACCACCACCGCCACAAGGGCCAGCAGCAGCAGCAGCAGCAGTAGCACCACCACCACCACCGCCGCCATCGTCATCCTCGTCCCTAACTGTGACCACCTTACCGCCGGCTGTGTGCAGCACAATGACAAATACCACAGTGACGGCTGTTCCAGCGGCAACCAATCAAATTCCCGCTCATTTTCCACTCTCAGCTGTAGTCTCTTTGCCAGCTGCCTCTGCTGCTTTTTCACCCAACAATGCGGCAGCTATTAATTGCATGGCTCCGAGTAGTAATAACATTGCGGCCTCGGCCGCCGCTTCTATAGCGGCACTCACCAACAACTGCAGCGGTGCACCCGCGGTTACAGCTACAGCCGGCGCACTAGTGCTGCCAGTGCCATCTCTACCCACAGTACAATTACCACCGGTACAAGCACATAACAAGCCGCTACTGGGTCCCATCTCCACAATGGGTCCAACCAATATGCCACCGGCACAGATATTTCCACTGCCGCCACTGGCAAATGTACCGAAACCCACAGCTCTTATGCCGGCAAGTAGCGCAGCGAGCAGCGTTGGCTGTTTGATAATCGAACCGCAACTGTTCGCCTCAGCCGATACATTCAAGAAGGAACTCAGTGCGCCAACTATTGGTCTGTTTCATAATATAACCTCTCCGGCAACGAGCACCGCTTCAACAGCGCGCATCAACCCGCCGCTAATATCGAAAATACGTCGTGTGCAGCCATCGCCGCAGACGGCGGCAATCAATCTCAGCTTTAGCGCTATGCAGCAAACTGCGAATAACAACAACAACAACAGCAACAGCAATACTAATATGAATAACAATAACAATAGCAGTCAACCGCCACCAGCGAAAGTCCGCAAAACGAGCGATCGCGCCGAGGTCGACATCTCAGCAATACTGCAGGCGAATCGGGACTTGGATGCCAATACGCTGTTTTTCCTTAGTCTGGCACGAATGGTACGCGCCATGCCGACTAAGTTTCAGTCACTCGCCAAAATGCGCTGCATGCGTATTGTCAGTGACATTGAATTGGAGCTGGAGAATGCAACTGAGTGTGGTGGCATGCAGCCGAATGACGACTCACATGGCAGTAAATTTTGTAGCATAGACTCGTCGCCCTCACCACCGGATGGCGCTACCATCATACCAAACAATCCAGTCTCCGATACGGGGCCAACCGAGCACTTTGTTTATGTGATGTCGCCATCTCGGGTGGAGAGCATGATTGATATTTCATCAGATGAAGATGGTACCATGAATGGTAATTAGTTGGGTACAAATTAGGAACACTCAAGTTTAATTTATGTAGTAAAATGTATGTATATGTAAATATTTTAATCAAAGATACTCAAAATAAATTTTAAGATAATTTTAAAACAATTTTATTCGGTTTTTCATTAAAGATTTTGTACTGAAATATAAGTAAGTGAGTCGCCAAGAGTTTACCAAGGGCTCGATTTCCGTTTCATGCTAGCAGTTAATTAAAAAATAAACGGTTTTAAGAGATCGGATTGTAAAGAAAACTCACTAGACTTCTACGAAAGTCTTCGTTTAAATAAAATACATGGCTTCTGTTCGGTTTGGGTTTATCTCTTATGAGAATCTGTTACATCTATCCAATAGCCGGTGACAAGACCGACGTAGATAAGGAAACTCCGCACCATTTAAAAAACCGCCGGCAGCACCTTTGCTAGCAACCTACAAAGCAATTGGCCGGCCGGTTGTTGACTACGCTGCATCGATCTGGGCACCAAGGAAAAACGAGACGCAGTTGAAGAAGCTACAAGCTTGCCAAAACACCGTCCTTAGGACCGCGACAGGTAACCTGATGACGCCAGAGCATCACTTGCACAAGGAAACATCTATGCTACGAGTTAAGGAGCATAATGGTTTGCTGTGTAAGCAAATTCTATGCGGTAGGATCCCAACCGACATCTTATAGAGGCTGAACCTCTATCCAGCAACAGTTGCAACGACCGCTGTGCATTACGGCGTATAGACAGGCATTAAACGACATTAATCGAGAGAACGTCAACAATATTCCTTTGAATGGCGTTATCGGAGTCAAACTACAATCTATTAAAGACGAAGAGCTCGAGCTGCCCCGAGAGACTCGCGTGACACTGTTGCAATTTACCTCTGGATGCTGTAGCAGTTAAAACTCCTACTTACCCACACTCAAACCCAACATACGCAACGTATGTCCTGCATAAAGCGAGTCTCCGCACGACACTAACCAACCTATCTTTCTGGTCCGATCCCGTCGAAATAGTACGTTTCCTGGACCTCTCTTTAGGTGACCACGGTGACTTGAAATTAACTAGCTTGTCCCTAAAGGGGTTGGAAAAGCCCCTACAACAACAACAGACTTAACGTATGTCCTTAATACAAAGAGTCCCGCAGAACACTAATTCTTTGTATTACCACAAAATCCCACTCATCTAATTTGCTTCCTCTGGACCTGTAGGGGAAACTACAGGCGGACTGCAACGTAATCACAAAAATATAATCTTCTGCGGAAGGGCCAACGGAGCTGGATTACCTTCTCCAGCATGATCTTCGACAATCTTTCCTTCACGAGAATCCCTAGCAGACATGTGTGGGAAACCACTAAAGATCTCGACCAATGAGTCATAGTCATCTTCATAGTCGGCTCAAAGATCGATGGAAAAGTGGCTGGGGAACTTATTCTCCTGTGCTTTCAGTAAGCACGAGCTTGGATCCGGTATTCTCAAGCTCGTGCGGAACCCTTTGCAATCATGGAGGCTGCCGAGTGGTTGCTAAAAGTTGTTCGGAGGGACAATCGGTTACAATATGCTCTGACAGTCAAGCTGCCATAAGATCTTTACAATCTAACAGGGCAAAAGTGGGCATAAAATGCAGAAACAATCTTAGCAAACTCTCAATTAAATGTAATACTGCCGGGGGGTCTGACAGTGACATCTCAGGCAATTGTAAGGCAGAGGAACTGTCGAGATAAAAAACTCTTCTACCCACAATAAAACATGCACATAATGCTGGTGTACCTCTGTCCACGGTAAAATACATGCTTCAGCTGGCCTTTGTCAGGGAAGCCAGCACAAGATAACTGGACGAGTTCCCGTGGAACCAGAACGATTGTAGCCGAAGATGGCGTAGAAAAAATCTGAATATCTTATCCTTCTAGACCGATTCTTAATTGACGGCTTCACGGGAAAAGCACAGGCTATCAGTGTAATGATTTTCTCCTGGACGAAGAAGTGAAGGAGTCTATCGACCACTACCTCTGTCACTCCCCAGCCCTGACATCTGCGCTACACAAATGCCTTGAAAAACACTTCTTCGTTTGTCTCGCTGAGCAAGCCTCTGCGAAATTCGAGAATGTAGTTGCCTTAAGGCACACGAAATGGTTCGATCATTTGAGAAAGTGAACACAGGAGCCTCATAGCCGTATCACAATGGCCCTATTGACCTAAGTGCGCTGGTAGTGAATCATCAACTCTTGTGGCGTAATTCACGGAGTTAGGAAACAAACATCACATATCGTAGGCGAAGTTTGCGATTCGTGCGAGTCATTTAATCTATATTCCCATAGTCCGATAATACATTATTTTTTAATATCGATGTCTAGCACTACAAGAACATTGACCGGCGGATCATCAGCATCACTTCGTCATTTTCATTCAATTTGCTTCAGTCTGATTAATATAAGCCTTAAGCAAAGACAATCATGATCGTGAATTGAAGATACAACAACAAAACACTTGGTCATGTTCATTTGTTACGAGCTTTATTGCTTTTGCGTTTTTGCTTTATTAGCGAATGCATCCCATTTGTATCGTCAGTGGTGACCTTGGTATCTGCTATACCAAAATCATCAAAAACTCTGTATAAGTCTCTCTCACACGTTCATTTGTTAACTATTTTGGTATTTTTTCTGGCCTGACATTTAGAGCCTGTACCACTGGCTCTACACTGCCGAAATAGTACAATTAGTGCAAATTTTCATTCATATGTATTGATGAAAATTTTTTATGTTTTTCTAAATATTCAACATTACAAGTATAAAAATTGCTGAAACTAAGACAATAAATCAATAAATTTAACCATTCAATCAAAGTTTAATAAATATTGAAAACAAATAATTTGATTTTCGTTAACGAAATACAGAATTATATTCGTTTATTTTCTTATTCTCCATGATTAAAATTACAGCTAGAATTTTACATTTCATGCGAAAGTAAGAGGTTTACTTGTTGGTATAAAAAGTAATCCACATATTAATCTCTAATTGGAAAGATAAGTTGAATGAATTTCATTCAAAGTCTACAAATCTCAATAAGCGAGATTGAATCGCTTTTCACATCGTTATTGTTTTTTTTCTAACCTTGCACTTTGCTCTTAGCGGTGAAAGCAAAGTAAGCGATACCACCAACCACCAACGCAGCGACCAATTCAGCTTTTACCCATGGACCTTTGTAGGCACCTTTTGTGGCGACAGTAATGTCAACAAGAGATTTAACATTCGACACATTATCTCCATCACGTTGTGCTTTGCGTACGCTGGCATAGCCCTCCTCATCGAATAGACGTAAGACAACATTACCACCGCTGCTCTTTTTGATCTCCTTAGTCCAGCTCACCTAAAAGAAATAATGCCACATCACAACTGTCACTTATCTGTTTGCTAATGGGATATAAACATATTTGATTCGTCAACTTACTTGGTATTTGCCATTGCCAATCTTAGCTACCGGAACAATTTTTCCACAGGGGAATTCAGCAAACAAGTTGGGTTGCACATTATTTCCACAACTCAAGGAGAACTCACCAACATGCGCCACTTGGGTGAGGATGGTGGCATCCTGAGTACTGAAGGATGTTACACTAACTTTGGGGCTGGTGCAAGTGGTTGCAAAAGTTACACCAGCGCAGAGACACACAAGGAATGCGGCAATTAAATTTCGTGACATTTTAATTGATATTATCGAATATTGTTCAACACTTTATTGAAACTTGTCAGTAAAATGAAATCAGACAGCAAGCTTTCACTTGATACAAAATTTGACAGCCGAATATCAGAAATGTCATGCCACGTCGTGCGACAAGGCGAACTTCGTAAAACACATCTTCGATTTTTCGTATAAGAACAGTGCAGCCAAATTAATACAAATCGCAAACGTTCGAAAATGACGCCGATTCAAAAAAAAACTACAGAATATTTAAAAACATTAACACAATAATTAATAAACTAGCACATATTTGCAAAGAAATGCCATAGTATTAACTAAGCCCCCAAACATACTAATCCAATCAGCTTTGGCTTTATTGAAAGCAATTAAGTTTTTCACTAATGCGTATATTTATGTATAAACAAATAATAAAGTTATGAGTAAAAAGTTGTATTTTGTTTCGACACTATCACGATATAAGAGAAATTTGCTTTATTTTTTATTTCATTGTTTAAAACTTACCAGAAACTTAATTTTTAAATGAAGTATCAACACAAATTTGCACAACAATTGGCGTAATTTCGCTGTAATTTGAGATGAGATTAGCAGACGACACAAACTCGATAGCTTCATGATAAGTGATTTGTATTAAACAAAACTTTATGAAACTAATCGAAGTTGAAGAATAAACTATACAACAATATAAAAGTAGGTGGCATTATAAAATTTGTGTTATTTTGCTAATCTAAAACTTTTATGATTTCATATATTATATAAAAGCATTGAATGTAACTTGAAGTATCTCTTGTTGAAAATGTAATCGTTTAGCCAAGAGTTATCGAATGTATTCATTTATATCGGTTTGCCATATAGCCGTTATGTATGAATTTCCGCTTATTTTAAATTGCAAGTAATAGCCATTTTCGACTGAATTACGCAATGAGTTTCACAAGAAAGTTATGAATATTAAAAAATTGAATAATAAATTATTGTTATGCCGAAAATATACTGTAATAAATATAGTATAAATAATAATGAATAAGGTTTGGAAAGCTTGTAATGTTTTTCGAAATACTTGAACAGTCTGATAGAAATCAGACTTCTTTTTTATTACATGTTGTAAGGAAATATAAAAAATTTTTTTTTTGCCATTTTCATAATTTTCCTGCCAAATATATTATGTAGAATAAGCGACTTTAAATTTTTGTTAAAATTTGGAACAATTTTTGATAGCGAGTGTATACATATGCACTTACGCTAGCTTAAAAATTTAGTTATTAAAGTTTAATAAAAATAATTTTTATTATTTCATGTTTTCACTTCATTCGAATTTAAGTTTTATTTTAATTATTTATTTGTAAATCTTGGTGGTATTGGCTTTTAGATGATTAATGCTTGAGAGTTTTAGTCAAAAATTCACAAAAAACGTCAAAAAATAGTATTCATTAAGGATAAGGCTGTTTTGATCGAATTTGGGGATTTAGTGATGCATCCACTTTTGGAAGAAGATTGGAGCAGAAGATTTACGATTTTTCATTAATATTCATATTTCTTTATTTATGAATAGAATACGGTAAAAGCGTAATCTAAACCCAAAAGATATACATTAAATCACTTCAATGCTTAATAACTTTGAATAATTTTTTTTTTTTTTGAAGTTTGTTTGTTTGTTTGTTATCCTACATGTGGGTGTACAGAAGTGTAATGTGACCCTGAAATTGACTGTTGTTTGATTTCGATTGTTTTCTAAATACATATGTATGTATGTATGTATGTACATGTATATGCATATATACATTTTGACTTTTTGTTCATTTTGATTGCTGTCGAGCACGACAACTGTGCATGTCTATCACTATTGCTAAATTCCAGCTGTCATAGATGCCACCAAAGTCGCCGAGTACCTATGTATATATGTATATGCATTTTCATATGTACATAGGTATGTTTCCATTTATTTTGTTCTCCTTTCAAACGTTTAACTAACGAAAATATGAGCAGGCAATGATATTTTAGTACCACTATATTATGCACATGTGAATTTATGCATATTAATATAAATATATAAATATTTTTTTAAATATCAAAATAATATCTACCAATAGACCACACTCGTGCTCCCATAAAATTTGTCGCAACTATAATTAGTGAAACATTTGCAAGTTAGAAACAATTGTTTTGCAAAAAGTATGTCATATACATATACGTGCATATGTGTGTACATATGTCGTCAAGGCAAGAATCCACAACTGATTATCAAGTGCAAATGCTATGTGATGTCACCGCAAATCCGCAAGCACGTGCAAAGAGTCCTTGTAACATTTAATATTTGTCATTTCGTTACACATTATCGGATTTGACATCTACAAAAACTTTGTGCACATTTGTTTGTGCTTACATATGTATGGGTATACATACATATATAGACAGTTAAGTGCTTGATTTGATTGTGGCAAATGATATTGCTCCATGCAAACTAAGTGCGGATTGCATTACCGAGATTATTTTATGACTAAAATGAAACATTTTGCTGTCAATTTAATTAATAATTTGTTTGATTGATTTTAAAGTCTATTATCAGCGATACTTTTTTGATAATTTTATACGTTTCTTATGAATTTTTTCTTTTAAAAACATTTTGTTTTCTACGCAACCGATCATTTTGCCTAAAGTGGTTAATTTCTAAGAAGATATCGATATGCACTGAAATTACTCATACGCCATGTCGATTAATATGTGATCACATCCTGTTATGTTCGATAACAAATGAATTGGAATAATAATCAAGCTGGTGTAATTTCTTCGAGCTTATAAAATTAAACTAATTAAAGCTTATGGTAACACCAAAAAATCTTACCCATTAACAATGTTGAGAGTATTTACGTTGGCATTAGAAGAGAACAAAAGTGTTTGTTACCATTTTACAAATTGGTTACCTATGCGCTGGCATATATTGTAACAATTGCAAAGGATGGCGTGCAAAAGGAATGAGCTATATTGACAAGAGCTCATTGACTTGTTGTTTCATATAAACAAAACTTTGCATATATATTCATATAGAAGTTGACTTTTATATACACATACATGGATTTATATATATATGCATGCAAGTCCAAAAGACATTTGAGGGAGCGTTGTAACGAAGTGAAAACAAAAGTGCGCCATTCATGTCTGCAATATGCTTTCTATGAATGAAGTGGCGGGTATAAAGGGTTGCAAGTAGACAATATAAATGTGCTTTATACATATATGTACATACGAACGTTGGTAAGCAACTACAACTGTGCTCGTATGCTCTCAAGATTCGCGTGTATGTATTTACGTGCAAACAATATTTGCGCGGGAGTAACAAAAAGTTTGCATGACTTATTGGAAGCTCGTTTGTATAAAAGAAGTATGCCGAAAAAAAAACAAAATTGTATTGAAGGTGTCTGGGGCGGAAATGGAACAAGAAAAAAGAAATAAAAACTAAAAATTAATACAACAAAACAAAACGAAAAATGTGCAAAAATGATGGAAAAACTGCCTGTAACACGAAATCAGCCAATGAACCGCCAACGTCGTTGACTGCGAGGGAGTGCAAGTGTTTTTGCCAGGCAAAGCCGGTGGGGATGTTTGTTGGCTGCAGTAAAATGCTGTTAAGCTTATAAACAATATATCGTTGGCAACGAACGCAGTACATGCAAATGCATATATATATGTGTACATATACATATGTATACAATTCGAGTACTCTTTACTCCAACTTATGCCCTAATAGCGGTGTTGTGAATGCGCTCTTGAAACAGTCAACGCGCGACAACCGACTCTACCGAACCAGCTGCCACAAATAGCCGGGATATCGGTATCAGCGAAATAATTGGTATTTGTATTGACTGTTTATTGCCAAATTTGATAGTTTTTCTTTTTGGCAAGGCGAAAAAAGCAGAAAAATAATTATCTAAACATTTCTAATTTGTATTCGTGCTTTAATTAATGTGACTGATCAATAAATCCAAATTGTATTGTATTGGATTGTATTTGCATTAACTACAGTGAGAACTAATAAATTTTGCTATGCAAAGGGCGCTCGAGCTGACTTAGCGTGTGCGCTTGTAATTTAGTCCCCATGTACTGGTAGTGAGCAACAAGAAATTTACAGTTCAATAATAACACAAGTGCTCGTTAAATATTTGAATTGATTGAAGTAACATAAGCTATAGCGCCTAAAAGCAGGCAATCACTGCCAAAATTAAAACACATCGAAGCGCGCGCTACTCCAGTCACATTTAGTCATTCGCTGGATGCGCGCAATTAAATCGTACCTTAATGGCTTTGTCGCTTAGTTCGCCCCAAGCAGCTCAGCAAATGCCCTCTTCGACAGTGTGGACACGGCAGTCGCAGCCGCAGGAGCGTTCGATGTATGCGACGTCCGTAGCCGTTACACCGCAGAATCAACAACACAAGTCCGCACCTTTGCGTCTCCAAAAACAAAATTCATTTACAGAAGCGAATAGAACACAATATATTGCAGGTGGTAATGCTAATTTGTTGGCAGCGCGTAGAGCCGGTAGTGGTTACTTGACACGTGGTCTCTCCGTGGATCGTTCACTGGAAAATATTCGCAAGAAAGTGCATACCCAAAGCTCCACTGCAGTTGGTGCACATGAAGCACAGTCCAAACGCATTATCACTCGCAAATCTGCTAAGAGTGGTGGTGGTGAAAAATTGAAAGGCATAAAAACTTCAACATTCGCTGATGGCAAGCATAGCTATATGCGAGCAAACTCCACATCATCGCTTTTGAAGACATTGGATCATGAGCTGAAGCAAGTCAATGGACAATTAGTGCAACGCTTTAACTACAATAGTGTTTGTGTTCCCGCGAGTGTTGAAGAACAAACTGGGTGAGTAGGCATTTTTTCCACAAATGTGTAGTTCATTGAGAATTTCAGCTTCCTTGGGGACTAAAAAAAGTATTATTAGCATAAGTAATGAAGCCTGATTGCATGCAGACAACTAATTGTTATTGGTAGTCAGATGTACACCAAAAGCTTTTAACACACTCTGCTTTAAGGAAACACATGGATCAAAGCCATTACTACCACCTCCTGGACTTTTTCAGCCGATTTAATAGGATCGAAATGCTTTCAAATGAATGAAGTTGGACTCAGCACATGATATTTTCTGCAGAGATCAGCATATATATATGAGAAAATGCTTATTTTGCGTTGGGCTGGCAATAGAAGCGCTGAGTCAGAGTCCAGATGAGATGCCTTAAGTATATATTTGTTGGACGGGTATAGTGTCAATTAGGCGATCTCTTTTTTTTATCGCATCGAACCATGAACGCCTATATAATTGTTATCGCTTCCTATGGAGTCTGTCCGATGAACTCGTAGGGAAATAAAACGATCTTCAAGGGAGTTGAACTCGGCTTATATATGTAACTAGGTACAAGCGAACTACCATGGGGAAGGACTGAAACCCAGAGTCCGACCAAAATAACTAAATTTATTGTAAATTAATTTTAATACAATACAAGAAAATTAGTTAATTTTTCTAATTGTGATCGCGCCTCTGAGTGTATTGCTGACGTGGTAGAAAAGCTCGTCATTAAAATTCATTCGGAGGCGGTTTAGAATTAACTGATGGTCCTTTTATTTGTTGAGAAAACATCAAGACGCGACTATATTTAAGTTATTTTTTAATTAATAAACAAAAGTTTTAATTAATTATTAATTCAAGTTATGGGTAAATAGGTCAATAGACAGAAAAACTTATTCTAAACGTTCTTATTCATTCACAAATATACGTAAGGTTATTTGCCTGTATATACACACATCCAATACATATGTACATCGTAGGTATGCGAAATAAGTGTGCCTTTATGCATGTCTGTATGTATGTATGTACATATATAAGTCATAATATTCTGGTTTTGAGCTCAATTTCATTTAATAGTGAATAACTATTAATATCTAGTGTCTGAAATCACGATATCGTTCGTTGAACCATATTTTTACTTTTCCATAGTTTCTAGTGAGCACTTTACAATTATTGCTTTATTTTTAGAATTCAACACGGACGCCCATGTACACACCCACATAATATAGTATATTTATAGAGAAGAATGAATGTGTGTGTTAGTGTGTGTGTAAACAAATTTTGCATACTTCCATTCTTACCGGATTTAAATACGTTTGTGTGTAAGTGTGGATGTGTTAAAATTACTATTTCCAAAAATACTTGCAAATAACATAACCTCAAAAAAGAAAAAACAACCAAATATGGCAAATTGAAATAATGTTATGGAGTTACAGACACGTATAAGACATGTTTTATTTATACATTTATATGTTTGTATATACACACGTATGTAGCTGCATGTCAGTGCAATTGACATGATAGTTTCATTTAAATTTAACTTTTTTTTCGGTCCCGCCACTTGCATAAATCAATCACTTGTGATGACTCAAACAACATAATAACTCCATGTTATATATAAAAATACACATATGTATTTACATACTTAGATTCATGTGCATACTTTTTATTTTATTTTTATTTATTTTAATAATAATAACAAAGCATTAGTACAATAAGATTTCCATATCTTTTTTAGTACAACAGAGATAGTGTGAAGAACAAGTAAATATNTTATTTAAAAAGTAAACTGACGAATATAAGCACAAATACAAAAAGATATACAAGAAAATCAGCTTCAACGGGTAGACAAACAAACAAACTGTCTCACTGAAACAATACCAAGAATTTTTATTTAAAATGCCACCGAAACAGTATTAAACTCTCGAGCGTAGACAAAACACGTCCGGCCGCAATGACTTCACAAATATATATATATACTTAGGAAAATATAATATTTTTCAGAATTTCTAATTAGGTTAGTAGGTAGATATATATATGTAATTTTGACGATATAGCAAAAAAAGGTGTTGCCCAAACATCATGCAATTCTTGAATATCATATTTATATAAAATCCCATTAAAATTTCTGTGATATTTGCTTTCAAATGAAAGTTTTGGGTTGGACAAATGACGTTTATCTCATAAAGTCTTTTTCACTTTTTTCCATATACATCCATATGTACATATACATACATACATATATATCTATGCATATATGTAAGTTTTATTTAGACTTCTGTGCATACATATTCTCATGTAAGTAACTATGATTTTCTACATCTTACTTTTGCATTTATAGGCTTGAAAGTTTTAGCAGCAAGTCAAATACGCTACTGCCATCGTCCGAGCAAGAGGACAAAATTAAAAATTCCTCACCAGCACTAAAAAAGGATAGTAGTAAAGTTAATTTGAATATTGTGCTATCACATGCGATTAATTATATACCAATAAACGGTAACGAGTCCAACAACAGTGATATTGAAAGCTCTTCAGAAAACGCAGAGCCTTATGTAAGAGAAAAAATAAAATATATTTAAAAAATAATAATATAATATACATACATACATACATATAAGTTTTTTTTTTAATTTTCATAAATTTCTCTCTGTTAATCCAAATGTGCGCAAATCCTTAGCGCAAATCAAAATCAACAACAACGCGTATATTGCGCACAGATTTGCCTGCTCGTACGAATGTGTCAGCAACTGCCGCCGCTACTGCTGCCACTAGTACAACAATAACTGCCAATGATACTGTCCAGCAACGTCGCGCACAATTTCGCTCTAGTCGCAATGTCACAATAAACACCAACACTAGCCAGTCGAACACCAGTCAACTCAGTGTACCATCGGTTAATAACGCTACTTTAGCAATTAATAATCAGCAACCAACAGCAACGGCTGTCACATCTTTGACTTCCAATTGTAGTGGTGGTACGCTCAACGTTACACCATCACTAATTGTACAACGTCGACCGCCATTGGTGCGTGCTATGTCTGCGCCAGTACGTTCACGTTCGCTCGATGAGAATTCCAAAGGAGTTTTTGCTTTTCAAAAACGCAAATTACGTCGTCGTAAATTGATAACACGTAACGCTAGCGTTTGCGAGAAATCTGAACCAGCGGCATCCGAATTTGGCGGTAGCGGTAGAGGTGGTGGTGCTGCAGATAGGAGTGATCTTCTCTACGATTCGAATGGGTTTAGTGGAAAGAAACAGCCATTAACACGTACACGTTCCACGCTAGCTGTTGATGTAATTACATTGGTTTCACTTGTTAGCTCTGAGGGTAGTGATTCGGAGAAGGAAGATTCTGCACCGGAAACAGGACGTGGCAATGCAGAACGTTCGCGCAGCACTGGTGCGCCATTTTTACGGAAGACGGGTAAATCAGGTAGGGTGATCGATTCTTATCGATATACACGTATGTATATTTTAGATATATTTTACCAATTAGTGCAAAGTAATGAGAAATAATAACAATAATATAATTAGTTAAAAATTTCCGGAATCATTTGTATTTATTTGTGTTACCCGTAACTCGTTAGATAAAATATTTATTTATAGTATATAAACATCTTTGCAATCTATAATGAAAAATCCGTGACTTCTTCTTATTTATCGATAGTTTCCTTCCAAGAAAACTATCCACCAAATTTTCAACTTGCCACTAAGGAATATTCGCATATGATACGTCGTGGTTCCGTAGCACCACTAGCTGCACGTTTACGCTCCAATAGACCACCTACAGCACCACCAGTATCGATATTTATGAATGAAGCCAATACGAACAGTTCAATGGCAACTAATGCAATTGAAAATGTGGCGAGCCGAGAAAACGGTGGCAGTGACTCAAACTCCAATATTGTATCGGACAGCACACAAAACACCACGAAAACTTCTACGGAGCACACATTAAATGATAAAGAAAATGAAGAATACATTTATCCAGAGTATGTGCGCAGCTTGAAGGAGCGCGAGTGCTGGAAGTTATATCGGAAAATGTCGGTTAAAGGTGTCAGCGTTACGTATGAGACGGTGTTACGTGGCATGTTGACTCCAACAGAGTTTCGACAAATACAAAAACAACGTGAAATAGAAGAAGCTAAAGCCCGTGCATTGGAGGAAGAGAAGGATGGCGCATTAGAACAACATACGCCCACATCAGCCGTAGATCGTTTAACACAAAAATTATTAAAGAAATAGTTGAAAACTGTAGAAGAAATTTTGAAATACATCTTCAAGATGTTTGTAAAGTTCTCAGTTGAATATTGCTGTTTTAAATTTGTTTCTAGTGAAATTAAATAGACGAATTATTGCACAGTGTAGATGAAAGCTTTGTTATAGTGAGCATTTTTTAATAAACTTCACCAAAGTGCGCTTCCGTAGACCACTAAATTTTGTGTTTTAATGAAATAAATTTGAAATAAATTATAATTGCAGGATTGATAAATTATCATCTCGACGGGGAAAGACTGAATTGAGAAGTATATCAAAGATTTTATGATCGAAATCGGCGTATACCACGAATAAAAACGTAAAATCCACGTCAAACAAAAGAAGAAACAAATAAAAAAATTTAAATGAATAAATCTAGTGCACTTTAAAATCATTGTTAAAAAAGATAAACACCATCTCGGCCAAGTCAAGAATTTTAGATTTCACTCATAAGACACTTTGATTTAGGATTATAAGTAAAATCTATAATCCAACATTTTATAATAAATTTAGTACTTCATCTTAAACTACAATATGGATTTAAGTATTTATTCTTTTATAATTGATTTACTCTTTATAAAAGTTCAATTCCTTCTAGAAATGTAGTTCGAATTTATGTCATTTAACGCGGCAGGTACGATTTCCGTTTCCTTCTTTCATGCGATTAAACCATACATGTTATCGTTAATCGATTACTTATCACAATCAGCTGATGGCTGATGTTGACTGTTTTAACAAAACGTAAACATTGATTCTATCCGGTTTATTAATGAATTTGTGAATAAAAAATAAGTGATTAACTAAAAAAAATAAATGCATTTGTAGAAAATTGTTGTTATTTGAATACAGCTGACGTGGTGCGGCTTATTGCTCAGGTACGTGTCTGCTTAATCGCCAAGTTCGGTTGATTTCTAAAACAATATATTTATCAACCAATAGGCTTGAAATTCCTAAAATGTGGATAATAAATGCAATTATTGTGCATTTACTGTTGCTCGGTTCGATATTTGTCATATATTTCCGTTCTCCAATCATTACTGGTCTCCAGCCGCAAGAGTCAATATACCTGGAGGCGCCTGCAAAGCGGCTTGTGCTCATTGTGACAGATGGCTTAAGAGCAGAATCATTCTTTCGTGACGGTTGCAAAGATATACCACATTTAAGTAAAATAATGTTAAAAACTAATGGCTTAGTTGGTGTATCACATACACGTGTGCCAACCGAATCGCGGCCAGGACATATAGCGCTGATTGCTGGTCTCTATGAAGATCCCTCTGCGGTTACACGCGGTTGGAAGCGTAATCCTGTCGATTTTGATAGTGTATTCAATCGCAGCAGTCGCACATATGCCTGGGGTGCAGCAGATGTCTTACACATCTTTTCACGCGGCATAGAGAGTGAACAACGTTTACTAATTGACGCATATGATCATGAACTCGATTTCTCCGGTCGTGATAAAACATATGAATTAGATGAATGGGTATTCAGACGTGTACGTCAACTGCTTACGCGGAAACGTGCAGATTTAGTTGAGCAAGATAAAATTATTTTCTTTTTGCATTTGCTCGGATTGGATACAGCTGGACATGTGCACAAGCCGGGTACACCTAAATTTTTGGAAAATTTACATCGTACCGAACGCAGTATAGCGGAGTTTTATGAAGAATTCGAACGCATATTCCCTGATGGGCGGTCAGCATATGTGCTCACCGCTGATCATGGCATGACAAATGCAGGTAAGTTGGAAGTGAATTTAAACACACACATTTTCGTTGTAAGATATATAATGCTTTCTACATTTGCACAGGTTCACATGGCGCCAGCGACACATATGAAACTGAAACACCATTCTTCCTTTGGGGCGCTGGTATTGCTAGGAATGCAAGCTTTAAAAATGTTTTCAAAATTGGAAAAGACTTAACACGGCCACTATACGATATGCAACAAGCGCAAATAGCGCCACTTATTGCAGCTTTAATAGGTACCGCGCCACCTATGAATAATATAGGCATATTACCGCTAGAATACTTAAACGTATCGTTAGAATATCAAGCGCATGCCGCACATAGTAACGCTCTACAGCTATTAGCACAATTCCAAGCTTTATTGGCAACTCATCAACGTGGTTTCTTCTCAAGTTTCTTATTAAGCTTTAAAGAACTTGATGCAGATATTATTGCACATTATGTGGCAAATATGGAAATCATATTGAAAAATGGCCAATTCGAAAGAGCCATAATTTCAAGTATTGGTATAATGCAGTCAGCCCTAAAGGGGATTGAGTATTATCAAGGCTATTATAGGCGCCCACTACAATTATGCACCACTGCTACATTTATTTGCTGGATAATCTATTGCCTGCAAGTGCTATTGGGTCAACGACCTTTAGTGAATAGCTATAAAAGTAACTTAATGCTGACATTTAAACAAAAACTTAGTTTAATAACAGTCTGTTTTTTCCTATTACTACAACGCGTGCCATTTGTGGTAGGATTTTACCTTCTATTACCTTTCTTGGTTTGGTTGTTACTTGTGCAGAAGCAACGCTTGTCCTTAATGCCACTACTACGAGCAATGCCATTAATCCATTTGATAGCCTTAGTTCTATGTGCTGAACTATTTGTTTACAGCTTTTTTGAACGTAGACTTATTTCTTTGGGCTTTCTTATTTATACGTTCTTCATAAATCTACGTGCTTTTCCCGTGAAAAATCTAAAATTTTACATATGGTTAGTATTAACTATTGTTTTGGCCATATTTCCCCTGCTGCCGCCATCTGTTGGCTACTCAAATTTATGGCTGTTACTCTTGGGTATGTGCATAACGGTACTGCGTCCACTTGTTGTTAAATCACATATGCCTAGGTATGTAAAATTGACGGTTATCGTATGTATATGCAATGCGTTCTTAGTACGATATCAGCATGCGCAACAAGGTGGTGTATTCTTCCTCTCGCAGACACTTTCATGGTGTTTTCTTATATTTGTATGTCTTGCAATATTTTACCATAAAACACATGTCCTGAAACAACGAATTGAATATATATTTTTCCTTTTAACCGCACTATACACAATATTTTGCACGTCATATGAGTCCCTATTCATTGTTATGTTATCATCGGAGTTAATGCTCACGCTCTCAGTACAACAAATGCAATTACCTCTAATCAAAGATGAAAGGCTGTTGTCCGCACAAAAGCCACAAGTCGTTTGCACACCCCAACAATTACAAGAAGCGCTTAAATTATCTTTTGCCATACTCTTATACACGCTCTTCTCTTTCTTCGGCACTGGCAACATAGCCTCTGTGAGCTCCTTCGATACCAATATTGTACTTTGCTTGTTAAGTACCTTTGCGCCATTCATAATTATGTGTTTGGTCATATTGAAATTAATCATACCTGTTGTATTAAATATATCGATTATTTTCGGTATGTCGATATTTGCCCGCGCCAATGAGCAAGCACTATTCATTTGTTTGATGTTAATTTGTGATGTGATGGGTTTGAATTTTCTATTTTTGGTTAGAAATGAAGGCTCATGGCTGGAAATAGGCACATCCATTTCACATTTCGTCATAATGGAAGTGACCACAGTGGTTTTGGTGATTTTTACCTATTTTGCCAAGTTGCTGTTACGTTTAAATGAGAAGAGTGAGTGTTTGTAATACAAACCTGGAAGGTGTTGAGCACAAAATGACTGAAGGCAAGAGCAGCGCGGTAAAAAGTTTTGTGTAATTTGTGCGTAAATTACTAAACAATTTTTTTTTACATTGAAAATTTACATATCAAAGGTGTAATATTTTTTAGTGTGACTTTAGAATGTATGGTATCTTTCGCATTTAAATCATAATTTTATGAAATATTTTATGTTGGCACTTTCGTTACATTTTCGTAAAATCCATGAGTATAAAAAAGTGTGTGCATTTAGAATTGTATGTATTTATGTAATGCATATAATTGGCGCTATGCAAATTTTGTAATTGCAACAAATACCAAAAATTAAAAAAAAAAACATTGAAACATTTGCTGTGCATAATATTTATTCCACATTAAATATAAACTTTTTAAACTAATAAAATCTTAAACAATAAATTAATTGTTATATAGTTATATAGCACATATTGATGTAGTATGTGTAAGACACTTCTAAAAACTCATTTTATGCAATACATATATACGTTTATATGTGTGTTTCTGTTACATTTAATTTAATTAAAAACTAAAAGTATTAACTTATAAAGTAGAGATACATTCTTATTCTGAACAATTGTAAATATATGTATGTATATAGTGAATATGTACAAATTTTTAGTGTAAAATACTTACATACAACTGCCAGCTTGGTATGTTCACTTAAAAAATATATATTCTTTTTATTTACTTAACATTTAACTATTATTAATATTTTATTTTAATTTATATATATGCGCGTATTATTAGTAGTAGTTATAATATCTCAACACTATCACGAAAAATGCAAATTTCAAATAAAGCAAAACACCAGCTCAATTACACAAAAAAAGTACTTAAAAAATAATAAATAAATAAAAAAAACTACAAATTAGTAGTAACATTAAATTCGTACGCTCATATGACATATGTATAAATATGTATATAAGACCATGGCTATAGCATTATTGTCACTCTTTGAGATATTGTTCGAGTGGATTGAAACCAGTTAGCTTCAATGGCTTCGACGTCATGGATATATCTGTAAAATAAAGAATTTTGTAAATCAAATCATCAACTTAGTGTCTAATAAAATCACACTTTATGCATATATAAATACAAATGTATGTATCTATGCTGTGGTTAACTTACTAGCTTCCGTTGAACTCTGCACCGTTGTCTGCACTTCTATGCGTTGCGCTTGTAGACAATTCAACCATTCGGTGAGCGTAATTTTCTTATCACCATTCACATCACAGTATCGTGGCATCTTCTTGCCACATTTACGCAGTGTTCTATGAATAAGTAAAAATAATTATTCATTAGCATTGAAATTGGAATTATTCACTCTTTTTCTGCAACACTCACTTTGAGCTGGTGACCATTTCTCTAAACGTCTTCCATTCTTTACGTTCCCAAGATTTGTTTTTATTCTTGTCGAGTAAAACAAAGCTCAGAGTTGCAATACGTTCATCCTCAGAGGTCCACTTAGTGGTATTACCGCTGTAAGGGAGAAAAATACAGCTTAATATGCAGCGCACTTTATCTTAGCCACTAATTTATATTTATATAAACCTAAGTTTCACTTCGTCTTACCCTGAACCAGCACTCGCTACAATGTGTGTCTTCAAGAATTCTTTGAGATCATTCAAAAACACCGCTTTTCTGGGCTCCGGACAACCTTTCATGGGACGTGGCGCTACATAAGTGATATCACATTGTGGTCGCCTATCTTTCATCGTTGTACCCGGTATATTTTTGCCTGTATCCTCATGCACACACCAACAATAGGGCGTCGAACGATAACATTGTATGCGTTGGTAACGTCCGTCTGGTGTGCATTCTGGCACATAGAAAAGAGTGCCGCCCTAGTAGAAGAAGCAATATAACAATATTAATATTATAAAAGAATAAATGAACAAAATTATAACATAATTAAATTAAACAAAATAATATAAAAATTAATTTAAATAAAATAATATAAAATAAAACAAAAATAACTAAAATAAAACAAAAAATAGTAAAAATAAAAATGAAACAAACTAATATACAGTAAAAAAAAAAAAACAAAAACAGAACAAGAAACTAAAATAAAGAAAAAAATTAAGATAATAAAAAACTAAAATCAAGAAAAAGAAACTAAAATAAAAAAAAATAAAAAATAAAACAAAAAAATTTAAAAATAAAACAAAAATTAAAATAAAACAAATAAAATTAAATAAAGAAAAAACTAAAATAAATAAAAAAAATAAAACAAAAAATAAAAACAAAAACTAAAATAAAACAAAAAAAAAATCTAAAATAAAACAAAAACAAAAATAAAATAAAGAAAAACTAAAATAAAATAAAGAAGAGAAAAAATAGAAAGCATTTCTTCTTTCTTACCCGTTGTTCTTCGATTGCAATTTTTTGATCTGCCAAACAATCGAATTCGTTCTCAGAGTTGTTTAATTGTGTGTCGATTTTCGTATTTGAGTCGGTGAGTATTTTCGGCCCTTCATATATGGATGAGAGTGAAAATTTGATGTTGAATAAAGTATTTATTTTTATTAAATTTTCTTTTGTGATGCAGTTAATTTTAGAGAAAAAGCGAAAAGTAAAAAGGCCAAGTACTATATTTTAATGGTGTTAAGTCAATGAATATAAATAAATAAATGATAAAACTTAAACATTTTTAATTTTATAAAACTGCATTATAAACAGCAATTACTTGTGCTGACAAGTTCGAATTCAGTTAAAAGGTTTGCTTTTTTTCAAATTATTATTATTATTATTATTATTTTTACTAAAATAAATTTAAATATTTATACTATTATTAGTTATTTTACGTAATTTTAGTTTATATTAAATTCGTTCATTTTTTACAACTTGAATTTGGTAATTTTATTGCAATTTATGTTACTTTATATTTTTTTATTTTATTTGATTTATATTTATTTTATATAATTTTATTCCTATTTATTTTAGTTTATTTTATATTTTTCGCTTAATTTTTTTTGTTTAATTTTATTTTCATTTACTTTATTTTAATTTTATTATTTTATTTTATTAGTTTTTCTGATTATGTTTTATATTACTTTATTTTGGTTATATTTTTTGAATATCTTATTTAATTTATTTCATTTTGTTTTATTTGATTTTATTTCTTTTACTTTATTTTTATTTCGCAAATTTTTATTTTTATTTAATCATGTTATTTCGTAATTTTGTTTTATTTCAGTTATTTTATTTATTTATAGCTTATTTGCTTTCTTTCGTTAAATATTTTTATTTGACTCCACTTTATTAGATATATAGATATATATGTATTTTTTTATTGTTTAATTTTATTTTGTATTATTTTTGTAATTTACTTCCGTTATTTTATTTCATTTTATATATTAGTTTTTATTTATTATATTATTATTATTTGTTCTCAAAAATTTTTTTACTTATTTTTAATGTTTTTTTTATTTATTTTATATAATTTTTGGTTCTTTAACTTCAATTTAACCTACTTTATTTTATGTCATTTTATATAATTTTACTTTGTGTTAATAATCTTTGTTTTATTTCACTTCGGTCTATTTTATTTTTATTTCATTTATTGTTATTCTTTTATTTTATATTTCTTAAATATTTTTTGTTTTTTTATGTACATTCATTTCATTTAATTTTGTTTTATATTATTTTTTATGCTTATTTAATTTATGTAATTTGCTTTTTAATTTTGATTTATTATTATTATTATTTACTCTATTTTATTTATTTCATTTCATTTAAAGTTTTACATTTTTTAATTTAGTTCAGTTTTTTTATCTTATTTTCTAAAAAATAATTTTTATTCTTTTTTAATTATTTTCTTTTCTTACTTATTTTCTTTTTTTATTTATTTTCTTTTTTAATTTATTTAGTTTTATCATCTTATTTAATTGAATTTATTTAATTTTAATTTAAATTATTTTTATTTATTTTTCTATTTTATATATAGTTTTGTTTCATTTCATTTTGTTACTTATCTTTATTTCATATTGCCTTTTACTGTTTAATTTTATGTATCTTTGTTATGTTTAATTTATTTTTATTTATTTCACTTTATTATATTCTTATTATTATACTATTATGTTTTGGTTCTTTTAATTCCTTTTTATTTTTTTATATCATTTGTTTGTTTTTGTAATTTATTTCATTCTTTTACATTTCTAATTTTATTTTATTTTGGTTTGTATTAAATTATATTGTTTTATTTAACTTTATCCTAATTCAATTATTTTTATTGTAATTAGCTTTATTTTTTTTTTTGTTTTTTTAGTTTTAATTTTATTTTTAATTTAACTTTGTTTTTTTTTAGTTTATTTATTTTTTATTATTTTTATTTTGTTTTTTTTTTTTTATGAACAATTTTTTATATCAATTTTTTATATTAATTTTTTTTATACAAAATGTTTTATATAAAAATTTTTTATATTAACCCTCAAGCGGTCACGCGGTCATTTGTAACGGCAGCAGTCCCGCGTAATGTTGTTGTTGTAACGGTTCGCTAACCCCGCTTAGGCACAGGTTTGATCAGTCTAAGTCGCCGACTCTCGCGACAGCCGGCTCTACGCACCGGAGTTGACCCGGATTTTATCCGGCCAAGGGCTGTCACCCTTTCGGTCGCGCGTACTCGAAACCAAGAGTCTTTTCTCTCGATATATTAGAGAAATAAAACACTTATGAACTAATAATCGTTTATTTATTTGTATCTAGACTCAAAAAAGTTGAAAACAAGCAACTTAAATTTAGAAAAAAATGCAATAATAAAATCAAATAACATAACTCACTAATATAATTATGAAAGAAAACATATTTCGCGTAGTCGATTCGACGCCGCGCGACCGCTTGAAGGTTAATTTATTTTATTTTAATTTATTTTATATATTATAATTTATTTTTTTTTTAATTTTTTTGGAATATCATTATTTTTTTAATAACTTTTTGATTTTAATTTTTTAATATTTTTTTAGTTTATTTTAGTTTTGTTTTATTTTATTCTATTTTATTTTCATTTATGCTTTTTTATAATTTTTTTATTATTTTTAAATTTTTTTTCAGCAGTTGGAACTAAAAATCGAATTAAGCAAATAATTGGCAGTGGCTACTATATAAATGAGTTAATAATATGTTTTAAATGTTTGTATGCGTGTTCATGGTGTAATTTGTTAATCTGCAATTATTTTTAATGAAATTCCATGCACAACTAAGTCTCATGAAAACTACATACAATAACAATGAGTATTTATGCGTGTGTGCGTGTATTTATGTATGTATGCGTATATGAATGTATGTTAGAGAATGCATTAATTACCACATGTATGTATGTACGTACAATGGAACCGTGATGAATTTAGCATGCGTAGCGTATCACTATTTTCACCACCATCATCTTGATCATAATCCTCATCCTCATAATCGCCAGTTTGTTGTTGGCCACTCTCATCATCCTCATCACCGGTACTTTCGCTCTCCAAATCGTCAAACGATGTAGAGGAATGATGATGTATATTATTCAGATTATCATTTCGATTGTAATTATAATTGTTGTTGTTGTTGCTGTTGCTATTGCTGTTGCCATTGCTATTACTAGTATATGTATGAATTTGTGAGGTGCGATGATTGTAAGGCGACGATGAATGACGATTACTGTTATTGTTGATATTGTTATTGTTATTATTATTATTGTTGTTGTTGTTTCTATTTATATTTTGCTGTTGCTGCTGCTGCTGCTGTGTTGTTGGTATGAAACCCTGGTAGTTGTTGTCCGAAATGCTGTTAACGGCATAATTCTTATTGTCAGCAGCTGCATGACCTGCATACAAGTAAGTATGAGTTGGAACTTTAATTTTTTGCAAATTTTCATGTGAAATGTTATACGCTAAATTGTTGTAAATTATTGCGTAAAAATATATATCTATGAGCAAAAAAAATTGAATAAGTTAATAATGAGTTGCGTGAGAATGTGTTTTAGTTCGATAATTCTAAATTAATTTTATCGATTACACGTGCTAATAGACATGCTTGTGATGTCACCGTTGAGAAAAATATTAACCTTTTTTGGTAAACAAAATTTAAAGCATATTTATTAGTGAAGCAACTACTTATTTTTAGGTTATGTTATTTTGGGAATTTTTTTAAATGTTAATATTAATGATAATAATAATAATAATAATAATAATAATAATAATAATAATAATAATAATAATTAATAATTTCATTTAACATTTACGGGTCCAATTAAAGGAAAGGAAGTGTGGAATAATGTGATTAACCTCAGTGACATGATGAAATTTTTTGTTAAAATTATTTTTCAGGAAATGATCTAAGTAATTAAAATTAATATTCGTTTATTTGCACGATATCTGAAAGTTATCGGCATCGTGAAATACTTCATTCGTCCTCTCAATTACGATTGCGAATTACCCTCATTCACACGCCATGCAATTTGACAGTTTTCGGTTTCGCTTGTTTGTTTGTTCCATTTGAAAATGCATGGAAAATGTAAGATTTTACTAGAAGTTGATAAAATCTTAAGTTGAATTGGTAATGTAATGCCAGTTTCTTTGTGAATTTGTAATTTTTTTTCTTTAATATACAAATAGTGTTTGGTTTCAAATAAATGTTTGTGTGTTAGAGTTTTCTTTGATGATTTTCATCTCTTTTGTTTTGATTTCTTAGCTGGTTTCGATACAATTTCGATATAAATTAGAGAAGGCAACGAGTTGATCGTAATTCGCAAGTCAATTGAGAATGAATTAGCCACTTTTAGTGTAATTCGCTCACAAAAATTTGAATTACCATTGAGGGAGCGAAACACGTAATTGGACTGTCGTGCAAATGCCACATTACTTATACGCCGGGGTGAACGAAACATCGATTAAAATGGGCTTCAAATTACTCATCTCTAGTAAAGTAGTACCAATTCTTCTTCTTATTCTTTGCTGGCTTATATCCGTGTCAATAACAGCCCTTCCGATTCCTTCTTTCTTTGTGCTGCTTGGCGCCAGTAGGTAATACCAAATTAAGCCAGATCGCTCTCCACCTGATTCTTAAAACAGAGTAGAGGTGTATCTGTTTCTCTGCTTCCACTGGCGAGTACTGCTTCGAAAGCTTCCAAAACTGGTGTGTTCTCATCCATTTTGACGACAGGACCTAGCCAGCGTAGTCGCTGTCTCTTGATTCGCTAATTTACGTATATCAATGTCACCGTATCTCCCGTACAGCTTCTCGTTCCAGCAGTTGGCGTACTCGCCGCTGCCAAATATTTCTCTCGAAAACTTCTAACGCCGACTCATCAGATGTTGCCACTGCCTATGACTCCACCTCATATAGCAGGACAGGAATGATAAGTGGTTTGCAGAGTTTGTTTTTCGTTCGTCGGGGGAGGACTTTACTTTTCAATTGCCTACTCAGTCCAATGATTCTGCGTTAGATTTCCAGACATATATTTTTGTTGGTGTACTGTACTGTTACAAGATAGAAGAAAATATCTAAGCCTTCAAAGTTATGACTGTCAACAGGTGACGTGGAAGCCGAGTCGCGAGTGCATGCTTCTTGATCCAATCTGGTGAAGGCAAAATTGTGCGTATTATTTTCACCAACAACAATTTAAAGAAATCACATGATAAGTAATCATCCTGTCAGCAACCTCGTTTGGTATCGAACGGCTCGGAGAGGTCCTTACAATTCTGACGAAGCTTTAGGTGTTTCTTAAGGTCAGTTTACACAGCTCTATAAGTTTTGCGGGGATACCAAATTAGGACATGGCGGAGTGCTGTCGAAGGCTGCTTTATAATAGACAAAGAGGTGATGTGTGGCGATCTTCTTTTCGCGGATTTTTTCCAAAATCTTTCCGATGATGAATTTCTGGTCAGTTATAGATTTTCCAGGACTAAAGCCATTCGGTATGGGTCCCATTATGTTATTGATGGTACGCTTGAATGATTGACACAATACATTCGACAGAACCTTATATGCGATATTAAGGAGACTAATCCACAGTAATTGGCGTAACCTGCATGCATTTTTTTGGATTAGACAGAGCACACTTAAGTTCCAATCGTCAGGCATGCTTTCCTCCGACCATATTCTACAAAGTAGCTCATGCATGCACCTTATCAGTTCTTCACCGCCGTATTAGAGTAGCTCTGCCGGTAGTTTGTCAGCTCATTTTTCTTCACAGTTAGCCAATGAAAGATCTCTTTCATCGTCATCGATTTGGAAATCGGGTTCGTCATCTTCTGGAGTTCATAAATTCAGTCATTAGATCACCTATTTGAATCCCATAAGAGTTTGCTGCGGTCTTGAAACCTTCTGTAAGTCGCCGCATATTTTCGTATAATTTTTGAACATTACTTTTGTCAGCTTGCTTCCCAAACTCTTTGTACAACACACCATATCTATCCGAACCCGCACGTGTAGGGGTTTATTAACATTGTGAGGTAGATAGCCTCTTCACTATGGCAGAGAAAACCTCATCGTACTAGACATTCTATGCTAACCTTTCCAAAAACCAATAGCTTGGTTAGTAGCTGCACGTAGGGAGCTGGAAATGCCATTACTAATGAGCGCTCTCAGCGAGTAGGAGTGTAAGTCGATTAGATTATCGTTGGGCCATATGTTGTCGTTGTTGCCTTCAAAACCTTGCTTGTGTTTGTTGACGGGCGTTTTTTACCGCCGCAAGATAGTTATTCGCGTCAATGTTAGGTCTTCGGAGCATACGCTCGTCAAGTATACGGGAGACGGGTACGTCCCTCTATCACAGCATGATCGATCTGGAGGCAACCGAGTAGCCTGAGGAGTTTTCTGCTGCTGGAATCTACTACTACAGACTACCATATTTAGGGCCCAGCCAAAATCGATCAGCCTCAAACCATTTGGAGATGTTTCGTAGTGAAGACTGAATTTTCCTCCAAGAAAACAAAATCGATTTTACGATTTTCGGAAAGCGAACAGTGGATATACCGATATACATAGATTATGGACTACGCGAGCTTAGAAAAATAAATTCAACGGATATTGTAATATTGTTTTTAAATGCTCAATGATATTAAAGTGATGAAGTTCATGCGAGACCTATTAAACCTTGGTTCTCTTGTTACTTTGGGTTACTTAAAAGAATAAGTGATGCAGACAAAATCCGGGTTAGTAATATTAGAATTCGTTGCAAAATAAGACACTTACGATTAATTTGATCTTTTGAGAAGCAATCATTCCATTCGGTCAGCGTCAAACGATCGTCGTCATCCAAATCGCAGAACTTGCCAAAAGCACGTCCACAACGTCTCGGTTTCACCGCCTGTGCAAGGAATTTATAATTAAATATTGCCTTTCAATCAAAAAAAAAAAACAACAACAACAACAACAAAAACATATGTATATACTACATAAACAATACGTTTGCTGACAGACAAGTCGTCATCGCACGCCAACTCACCCTCTTCACTAGCTTCTTCAATTCACGGAATTCAGTTTTGTCCAACATTTCATTTGCATTCACATCCAAGTAGGTAAACTTCCAATCCAACACTGCTCTATCGTTTTGACTCTCTCCCGCACCCATCGCACCAGCCGCATTGCCGCTCTGTGGGCCACGTTTCTGTTGTCCAGCACCAGCACGCATGAATTCGCTTTGGAAGACTTTGATGAGATTGGCATTGAAGGCAGCGCGATCAACGGCCGTGCACGTGCGACGAAGACGACTTGGACTCACGTGACGTGACGGTGAACGACGTATATTCGCTTTGGTATATTCACGACATTTGGGCTTGCCATTGCGTACCGATGTATTCTCGATGGGTTTGCCAGTTATGTCGCTACACCAACAACCCATATCGCCGAGACATTGTACGGCTGCATAGGTGCCGTCCGATTTGCAACGTGGTATAAATTTAGGCGGACCATGAGATCGATGTTTGAGTGCGTAATCGCGTGCGTCTTTACAAGCTGCAAGTGACACATAACGGTACTCTTTAATTTACCTTCACATAGGAACGTGTAGGTATGCAATTTCAATGTTGACTCACCTTTACAGTGTCCTCGATATTTGAGACTAACTTGATAGCCGCTACATTGGGCGCGTAATAGATGGCAACGTGATGGGTAGGTTTGATCGTCTGTGCCGCAGACGGGACGACCTTTAGTCTCGTCACATTCACCGCCTCGCGCAGCACATTCTGATATCTGTGGGGTGAAGAATAACAAATAGAGAAGTGAGTGAGAAGAAGTGTGGATAAATAATAATATTGAAGGGTAGACAATAAATGCGAATGGAAATAAAATTAAAATTCCAATTCATGAGCTTAACGGATGAAGAGTACGAGTGTTAGCATAGTGGTACAATTTACACCTCCATGAGAAGAAAGCTTAATGTTTTTTAGGAAATAACTCCTGAGAAAGAAACGTCCTTGAAGAACCATTGATTCCAGATATTGAAAGAAAAAAGATTGGAAGAAACAACGAAACCTCAAACCCTCCCGGAAGAAAGCATCTAAACGTATTAACGACCTCAAACCCTTCTAATTGTTAGTTACTTTCACTTTCGACCCGACTTCCGTACTCATTTCACTTATTCTTCCTACATCCACTCTCTGTAGAGAAAAGCATTTTCTTTAACTCTCTCATACGAGGGGATTTCATTGTCATTAGACAATTAGTTTTAAGCTCACGTAAACCTATGTTGCTTGGTTCGGCGGTGAAAAGTGAAATATGGAAAATAACGAATATAATGACGTTATAGGTTCTTTATCAAGCAAGGAGTGTCAGTTACGACCATAATAAATGAGATGCCATTGGTTTAAGATGATGATTTTATGCAGAACAATCCATGATGTGGAAGTGGCACAAGGATTGGAATCTCTTGAAGACGATTCGAGGTGGGGCAAGAGCATCGCGCTGGCCAACAAAGTAAGAACTTATCAAAAAAGTCGAAAAAATTGCCCTCGATGGTGGTCGGCTAAAGAAGAAACAACTCGCATTAATGGTTAGATTATCCACTAAAACAATTTGGCATGACTAAGGCTAAAATACCGACGCCCTCGCAAAACAACAACAGCCAGAGCCGCGTTCCGTTAGCTGCCCTGCATAGGGTGGGCTTCTATATTCTGGATCACTCATCCTACAGTCCCGACCTCTTATGGTAGCCTCTCCTTTTATAGCCGCATATGTATTTCTAGCTGTGGGTCAGAATTTGCCATTCAATTGACCGACGGTCCCTTTGGCGGAGAATAACGAAAATCTATACACACCGATAACCGAAAGCCAGTGGCCGTACACTTTGTCCGGGACGCCGAAATCGATCATGAAAGGGAAAAAACAGCATCAAAAGAAATGTTAGCTGTTGAAAAGCTGCAATCACAACAGACATCCAAACTATTTACATTTCTGTTTTCGGTATGAGAAAGCCGTGGGACGGAATTTCTTCGGGTTTCGACAAAGTCAAAAGAAGTGCTGGTACGACGGTAGTTGTAACAAAAAGACCGTACACTGTACACTGTGATGCGGAAAGGTAGAAAGTCTGAAATGCATGTGTATGAAGAGCATGAGTCCCTGACCGACAGGAACAATGCTCGAAAATTCTTTAAGAAAATACGGCGATTTGCATAAGGTTTCAAGGCAAGTTTCTGTCCTATCGAAACCACGGTGGTGATTTGATAAAAGATTACAGTGAAAATGAAAAACAAGGCTGCAAAGAACACGATTATCCAACGGATCTCGCATCATCCTCCAGACATTTCATTCCATTTTACAATAAAGCGGCAGAGCAGGCGCTAATTATGGTGGAATAAACTTTCTCAATATGGTCTCATTTCGGGTGATAGATAGATTCATAACCACCGTCTATGAGCTGACAAGTTGGTGTTAGACCTGGAAATGGCCCATAAGAAAAGGATCGACGCAATCGATCTCTTCGCCGATTTTAAAACAGCAAAGTTCTCTCTTGACGATGTGAGTATTTTCTCCTAATTCAAATTGATTTAAACACAATGTACAGAGAAGTTCCAAGGCTCGTTGGTGTTTTTGTGGGAGTGGTTTTAAAAATCCCACTGGAAAGACCGGTTTTTAGACAGATAAAGCTTGGTTTGTATGAAAATGTGGGCCAAATCAGGTGACATCTCTTCTATAGTGATGGAATAATGTAACAAAAGAAACTATCAGGAAGAAGTTGGGAAATACCGGCTTAGAAGGACGTGTCTAAATAACATAAAGAAAACCATTCTTGACAAAATGACACCGTAAATTGAGGCTTTAATTTGCAAAAAAATATAAAACATACACCAAATGGCATCCCATTAGTCATACGGTCGGACGAAACAAAAATAAACCGCCTGGGAAAAGTTGGTCTGCAATTGATTTGGAGAGGATAATGCAATGATGTGAGGATGTATGAGAATGAAGGCGGTTGGAGAATGTGTAAAGGTTGCTGGACGAATGGATGCCAACCAATGTGTTAATATGTTACAACAAGCTTGTGTCGGACGTCCACTTCCTACAAGATAATGACTTCTCATGTGGCTCAAGCTTGGCTCCAAAGCAATAGCTTTGAAGTACTCCTCTGGCGCCCTCAATCAGCCGATCTCAACCCCAACAAACATGTTTGGGTTGAGGTCAAGCGTGGGATTTCTGAATTACCAGTTGAGTTTCAAATTTTTAACGGCATAGTTGACATACTGTATGTACGACGACATTAACACAGTTCAAGAGACAACGGCCATGCTGGTCAGGTTATATTTTCCGTAGGGTGAAAACACTGCAGCTTTGGTAGTGCAAGTATTGAAGAAGCAGAAGATAAGGCAAAAATCCGTTCGATTCAGCGCCAGAATTAGTAGCAATGTCAGCGTGCATGACTGTGTATGGAGTATGCCAAACATTTTCCCACCGGGTGTTTCTTGGTGAATTCTTGCTATCTACGTACCAGTGAAGTAGTATAAATATCACGTTAATTTATTGTTTTTGTAACTGATAGCTATTTTTTTTTTGTTGTACAAATATTGAATTAGTCATAATGACAATTTTCTTTCATTATTATGCAGACATTATTATGTGACAGTTGCAGAGAGGCAATCCTAGCAATAAAAAGCAAGGCGACGGCGGACACCAAGTCTTTGTGCATTCTGCATACCTTTTGTAAAACAACAATAACAACAAATATTACAACAATGTTATTATTATAGAAAAAAAAATGTCAATGCGACTGTTTGACTGATGGTGTCATGTTTTTATGCTGATTTATTATGTGATAAGCATGAACATATGCATGTAGTTTCAGTTATATATGTACATACATGTACGAGTAGATATATATGTACATATGTATGCATGTATGTATGAAAGAATCACAATATTTACACTCAGCACGCGTTTGATAAACACGTAAACGCTACAAATATGAAACTTGTTGACATGTTTGATGTTGTCGGTATGTAAAGGGTGTTTTTTTTTTTTAATATTTGGTGTGCAAGAAGAGAACTAAAATGCTTATAATTTAGTATTTTTGGCCAAGATTTACTTTTTATTGTCAAAATAAGGGTTTTATTTGCCTTTATGCTTTAAAAGTGATTTCGGCCGAGAGATCGACGCAGCTGCCCCGAATAAATTTCAGCTGAGCGACCACTTTTTGCCGCGATTACGGACGTACAAATGTTACCAAAAACGCGCCGAATATTCTTTTTCAAGGCGTCACTTGTAGTAGAAGTAGACAAGCTACTTCTCATAATGCTTGATTTCCTTGTGGGAAGCAAAGTTTGTTCACATCAACATTTCCTAATTCAGAGGCTCTATAGCGTTGCCCATTGACTCTAACATTACGTCCCGCTTCAGTTTTGTAGAGATATGGACCAATGTTAATCCTCTGCCCATAGAGCACACCAAACAGTGACCTTTTGAGGATGTAACTGCGTCTCAATAATGGCTTTCGGCCTATCATCACTTCTAGCGCTATAATTTTATTTATTAACGTACCCATTCCAGGAAAAGTGAGCTTTATTGCTAACCAAAATTTTTTTGTGCAAATCGGAATCGGTGGCCATCTCGTCGTCTGACTCCATTTCTTGCATGAGTTGGATTTTGTAAGCCAGCAAACCAAAGATCCTTACGCAAAATCTTTCAAAAAGTGAACGGGCACAGTTACAATTGTGGCGCGCGATGGCAGGTAAACTCATGCAGTGCGCACTGTACGGCACCTCTGATGATGCGCATCTACAAATCATATCCGAATCTTACGACAGCCGATTGTATTCACCGTCGTTGACCCGAATTTTATCCGACTAAGGATTTTCAGGCTTTCTGCGACCTAAACCAGTGTAGGACGATTGGTAACTTACGGCTTAGTTCATCAGGAGAGCCACACCTGGCTTTTTACTGGCATTTTTATCAGGACTTGCGTCGAACCCAAGCCCGGTCCGATGGATTATTTCTGTTACATATGTCATTAACGACTGCTCCGTTCTTCCATTTCGATTAGATGCAACCACTGTAATGGTTGGAATCATGTTAAGTCCTGTTGTGGCACTCTGGGTATCCACCACCAGACCTCTATGGTCCTACGGAGCTCTTCACAGGATGACTCCCACTCCGTTCATTCTACACAACGCCGTGCATTATCGTCTCATCGATGGCAACATCGGTTGCAGGAATACTACAGCAGAATGTCAGAGCATAGCTGTCCGGTCAAGCATCCCTCCAGTAAATTATTGCCCAGTTGTATATCGTACTATCAGAGTAAAAATCAGTTTGGATTTTGGGCCACTTTAATACTCACCACAATATTTGGCATTCTAGCCTGCGAAATGACCGTAGAGGTATGGATCTAGCAGAACGGATAGATGATTCGGCATTCTAAACTATGCACGATGACGCAAGAATTGTGGGCGATTGCCACGGTTGCAATTAGACCTCGCACGACACTAACCACCTCTTTGCAAGCCGAATAAAACCTACTTATCTAACCCTCCCCATCTCTGCTTTGCTGGACATCCAATTGGATAACCTCTATGTTCTTGCCAGTTCATATGCGGGAGTAGATTAGACTTTACAACAATAATAATAACATCAACATGAGCATTATTCTTTAGTGTAAACGTGCCGCGAAACCGATCCATGGTTATTCGAATCACCAACCCTGCTGGGCCATTATGTCGTCTGAATATTGGACACAACGAGCGATGTAAAATCTGTCAAAAAAT